AATCCTTCCGTCAACCATCCGAAATCATCCCAAGGGCCCCGGGACCTCAACCAAAAACACAAACAAGTCTAGTACCACTGCCCAAACTTATACCAATCCTTAAAACACCTAAAACAACATCGAAACACCAATTTAACATCGAATTCAAGCCTAAGAGCTTCAAGAACTCAAAATTTACGCTTTCGATCAAAAAGTCTACCAGACCTCATGCGAATGACCTGAAATTTTGCACACACATAACATTCAACATTATGGAGCTACTCCAACTTCCGGAATTCCATTCTGACTCTCGGATCAAAATCTCACTATCGAATTGGAAACTTCAAAAATCCAATTACTTTCGGCATTTCAAGCCTAAATTAGCTACGGACCTCCAAAACACAATCCGAACATGCCCCCAAGCCCGAAATCACCCAACGGAGCTAACGGAACCATCGGAAATCCATTTCGAGGCCGTCTTCACACTGTTCCGACTACGATCAAATTTCCCAAAACTTAAGCTCTCATTTAGGGACTAAGTGTCCCAAACTCTCCGAAACTCAAAACCGAACATCCCGGCAATTTATATAGTAGAAATAAACACGGGAGAAGCAGTTAATAGGGGATCGGGGAACAAATTCTAAAAACGACCGGCCGGGTCGTTACAAAGATGAAGATGAAGCAACTAAAAACTTACACGAAGAATCAAGATGAAGCTGAAGAATGCGGCTGAGAAATGCGACTGAAGAGTGAAGAAGATGAGACTTAAGAATCTGATGGATCTGAGAAATAAAGTGAAGATGCAACTGAAGAGTGAAAGAAAGAAGTTGAGAAATGCGACTCACGCCAGCCTGAGTCTTGACGGTCTGACTGGTGAGGGCGTGAGGCGGAGAAACTGAGAAAGAATAGGGAAATCAAAAAGTGAACTATGAAGTATGAATTATGAAACCTTAGTATATATATACTTAAGGGTAAACTAGTAAATTAGTTAATCCTTATTGGGTTATCGATTTTACCCAATAGCAGAATTGCCAAACTGAGCTCGAACTGATAACCCAACAAAAAAAGAAATTTAGCCTGTTACCGAACTGTTAACCCAATAACCCAATACCAATAATCCAATAAATAATTAACGGTTCGGGTTATCGGTTTTACCCGATATATGCCCACCCCTAATAGTAGGAAGGAAAAACTGATCCTTTTCAAATGGTAGAGGGGCAAATTTAATTTTCTCTAAAATAAATGGATGAAATTACAGTATTACGAATTTGTACTCCTTACATCCCAAAAAGAGTCCCAAAAAAGAGAAGTTCTTTTTAATAAAATGTGCATATTTAAAAATTATATAAAAGAAGTAGATAACGAGAGGTTACTTTCAAAACCACCTGACTGCCTTTACATAAATTTGTATGGGTCAAAATATGATCAGAGAAATTCGGTACGCCGGAGACATAACGTCGAGGTCGGGCAGGCCAAGGTCGGACGGTCATCAATGAGGGCGAGATCAGACATTATCAATAAGGCCGAGGTCAGACAGTCATCAATAAGGCCGAGGTCGGGCAGTGATGAAACAGCTAGCTTGCTTTAGAATACTCAAAAGGAATATTCTACCGAATATTCCCTCTAAATAGTACCTCGTTTAGGATTTTCTGTGGATACCCCCTTATGAAGAGGAGGGGAGGACTTCCCAAATGGGGGCTCTCTCTCTCTTTCCCCCTGCCTCTCTCTAGAAAATATGTAAACACATCTCTCTGGAGAATGGGTAATCTCATACCTTCATCGGATCCAAAAAGGGTCCTAAGGTTCTGGCATTTGTCTATCATTTGTCTTTATCAAAGGAAAGAAGATCCGTCTCACTCAAATTGGGTGAATCTTTTCCGTTATTTACATTTTATCGCCACTTAATGTTACTTAATGCATCTTTCTTTATGCTATTAAATCTGGCCATAATCACGGCCAATATTTATACTCGACTATATTTTTCTATTCATATTACTCATCTCGGATCTAGAGTTAATTATCTTTAACTAGGATTTACCCCTTCATCTTTGATTGATTTGTTCAAAAAGGTTTTAATATCTTTTGAGCCAAAGAAAAGAGTTCGGCATAGTTCGAACAACAACGGGTTAACATTTCGACAAGCTCGAAATAACACCCTTACGGCTAAGGCCGTCGCCAAAGGAAAGAGTTCGACCTCGTTCGAACCACGACGGGTTAACATTTCGACCAGCTCGAAATAACACCTCTACGACCAAGGGCCATCGCCAAAAAAGAAGAGTTCGACCTCATTCGAACCACGACGGGTTAACATTTCGACCAGCTCGAAATAACACCCCTACGGCCAAGGGCCATTGCCAAAAAGAAGAATTCGACCTCTCGAATTACAACCTTCGGCCTCGTCCGAATCAACATTCGGCCTCGTCCAAATCAACCTTCGGCCTCGTCCGAATCAACCTTCAACCTCGCCCGAATTCACATTCGGCGACCTCGTCCGAATTCACATTCGTTCTCCTCGCCCGAATCTACATTTGGCGACCTCGCCCAAAATCGCATTCAGTCTCCTCGCCCGAATTTACATTCGGCGACTTTGCACGAATCCCCATTCGGCGACCTCACCCGAATCCCCATTCGGCGACCTCGTCCGAATTCACATTCGGCCTCCTCGCCCTTCCAGATCCGAGGACGCGAATGACCTCCTCCGATGCCGCCATCCTTGCCAAAGCCGCCATCCTGGCCTCGACGGCCTTCTCCAAACTCTACCGTCTTCTCGATCGACTCATCACTCGAGTCATTGGTCTTGATCCAACTCTGCTAAAGTTCAGCCCGCGGGGATACCACTTTGACCTAAAGGTCGGCACCCTCAGCCACGATTCACACTAGTTGACCTCCCCATCTGAATTTCTCGAACTACGATTAGTGAAGTCCGCTCACCGAGCTCGACTAAGAGAAGACCTCGATAAGCGGAGGGACTAACTGTATGGGTAAAAATTAGATCAGAGAAATTCGGTACGCGGAGACGTAAGGTCGAGGTCGGGCAGGCCAAGGTCGGGCGGTCATCAATGACGGCGAGATCAGACAGTCATCAATAAGGCCGAGGTCGGACAGTCATCAATAAGGCCGAGGTCAGGCAGTGATGAAACAGCTAGTTTGCTTTAGAATACTGAAAAGGAATATTCTACCGAATATTCCCTCTAAATTGTACCTTTTTTAGGATTTTCTATGCATACCCCCTTATAAAGAGGAGGGGAGGACTTTCCAAATGGGGGCTCTCTCTCTTTCCCCCTGCCTCTCTCTAGAAAATACGTAAACACATCTCTCTGGAGAATGGGTAATCTCATACCTTCATCGGATCCAAAAAGGGTCCTAAGGTTCTGGCATTTGTCTATCATTTGTCTTTATCAAAGGAAAGAAGATCCGTCTCACTCAAATTGGGTGAATCTTTTCTTTTATTTACACTTTGTCGCCACTTAATGTTATTTAATGCATCTTTCTTTATGCTATTAAATCTGGCCATAATCACGGCCAATATTTATACTCGACTATGTTTTTCTATTCATATTACTCATCTCAGATCTAGAGTTAATTATCTTTAACTAGGATTTACCCCTTTATCTTTGATTAATTTGTTCAAAAAGATTTTAATATCTTTTGAGTCAAACAAAATCATTTAAAAATAAAGAAATTATACAATGCAGGCAGAAGTCCATGGTAAAGGAAGTTTCATCACTTTGTTTCCTTATAGTTTATTACCCTTCAACATAAATATATATCCTCTTTACTTTAGCTTTCCCACCTGCCTAATGAATACGAAAAAAGTAGGAATAATAATTCCTTAAGCATATAAATTCAGTTTAAAAACTATTTTCACTAGACATCGATCCTAGTTTCTAGGGTATAGCTCGTGATAAGTATAGTCTAATTGGAGGTCCCAATTTTATGCACCGTAAATATTATATGGACCACTAGGGCTACTCAGGGGACCAGATGACGAAAAATGGTACATATGGAGCCTACGATTCGAGAGCACGAATGAAATAGCAGACCGACAAAATGTATATTTAGAATTTACACGCTGGGAAATGAAAATCTCTTGGTAGCTAGAGGAGAGAGCACTTTATCCAAAACGAGATGACTATAAAATCAAGACAAGATTTTATATTGACAAAAGAAAGCAATAACTGAAGGGGCGAGTCATATTAGGAAACATGTGCAAACGTTTGACAAAAATAAAATAATCTATTGGTACTCCTGTAGACAATAAATTGTGTCGCGAAAATAAAATCAAAACCAAAAAATATTATAACAATCGTAGTATTTGATTTTAAGTAATATGATTGTTATAATCTCTATGATTCCTCTAATTCTTCTTTCCAACAGTAAATAAATTCAAGGACCTTTGAGCTTGATCTTGAATCTATATTTGTTGCTACGAACGATGATCTTGAATTCAGCTAGCACGAACTTTAATTTGAACTCGTACTCCTTGAATGTTTGTTTGTTCTTCGTTCTTGAGCTTGAACTTGAACTTGATTGCTTGAAGCTTGAAACTTGTGGAGGAATTTGCAGTGTTTGATCCACAAGCTCTTTGAGTTTTGAAGACCCCTATTTATAGTTGTTGAAGGGAAGAATTGTGATGAGAACAAACTCTTTCCGACCAATCAGATTGAAGAGTGACAAGGCCGCATTCGATTGGCCAGAACATGTCACCTGCACATGTGGCGCAGTTTCATTGGCCTTTTAATTTGACCTGGCATGCCTTGTCTTTTTGACATGTGGCATGATCCTATTAGCTTTTTCCGTTTGACTTGGCGTGCCACGACATTTGACACGGCATATTTGGCCTAATAAAGTGGGCACATCACTTGTAGCCCAACTAAATGAGCTAGCCAGTCAGAATTTATTAGACTTAAGTAATTAATCCAATTATATTAGCCCATAATATTTATTCGAAGTATTATATTTAACATATAGTCTAAATTATTTTATTGAATTTAAATCCAATAAAATATAAATGCTTACAACTCCTCTGCCGTTCTTGTAGCTTAAATGTGGGCATGTTTTAGGCTAAACAAACTTCAATCATATTGCTGGAGAAAAAAAAAATCTCTACGAAGATCAGTAAAGAAAGAAAACAACTTTATTTGGATTTTCTAAAAGAGCTAAAATATGATTCAACTGAAGGGGTTGATTGATTCCATATATCAAGCAAAACACATCGATCTTCATAAGTATTCCAATACATGCATATATGTGCTATGCCCTCTTGACGACCCTAACCATCAGACCATGTTTCATTTGCATGACAATAGAAGTAGCGGGAGAGATATTTTGAGCTTCCACTAACTGGATATCATAATTATATAGGATGGTGGCTGCCACTATTTTCATCTGAACAAATGCCATTTCTTTCCCTAAACAAGTCCTTGGACCCGCATTAAATGCTATAAATTTGAAAGATGGCTCATGTTTAATTCCTCCTCGTTCTGAGATCCATCTCTCGGGTTTGAATTCTAAGCAATCTTTCCCCCATATAGTCTCCATCCTCCCCATTGCATAGAATGGTAGAATCATTCTCGTTTTTGGAGTGACACGGTGACCGCTAGGAAGGATGTCATGTTCAAGTGGGACTTTGTGCTCTAAAGAAACTGATGGAAAGAGCCTTAGAGTTTCGCACAAGGCAGCATGTAAATAGATCAATTTTCGTGTTTCTTCTTTGTTGAAAAACTTGACGTTTTCATCCCTTTTCAGATGAAGTTGTTGCTGAATCTCTTCTCTAATCTTTGTCTTGACTGAGGGATTTTCAGCCAAGAGCCAGAAAAACCAAGTGAGAGCTGCACTTGTGGTGTCTCTCCCAGCAAGCATTAAATTCAAGAAAGTGTCCCTGAGAAATTTTTGTAAAGTACCCAAATCTCCTTTGTTCCATAAATTGTACATTCTAATATAGGCAGTTAAAAATGTGAAACTGTCCTCGTCTTTGATGGTTTTATTCATCAACTCCTCTTGCTTTTGTAAAATGCAAGGATATATGAACTGATCCAAAGACTCCCATGCTTGAGTGAGCTTCTTCTCTTTACCAATTTGAAGCCATTTTTGCAATTTCCAACAACTTTCTGGCATTATATGTCGGTGTAAAACAGCATCAAGAGCATCGCCGAATGCCTTTTCACATGGCAAAAAAGGTAAGTCAATGGACAAGCTTCTCGGATCATGATCAAGTAACAACTTGGTGATAGAATCAAAAGTGAACCTTTGAAAAACGTCTTGTAAATCCAATGTTTTGCCTTGCTCAGCAAAAGCATCAAGAATCGGTCGAAGCCTTTTTTCGACAGTGTACCACATGTTCCTCTCTAACAAAGTTTGAAACTTTGCATGGCTCATTATGGACAAAGTGGGTTTCCTATGAAACTCCCATAATTCATGATCAACATTAAAGATCCCATTTCCCAAGATATCAAACATTTTACGAAACTCGGGTCCCTTTGGATAGTTTGAGAAGTTTTTACTAAATATATGATGAATATTTGAAGGATCACAAGTTAAAAACATGTCCAAGTTGGCAAACATAGGACCTTGGAACTCATAAGTGGCCCCAGCTTCTATAAGAACCTCAGTCGCATATTCATGCATACGATGAAGATTCATAATAAGTGCTGGTAACATCCGGATGAATGGCCAATTTGTTGGTTCTGATGATGTTTTTGTCCATCTATGTAGGAGGTACCATGTAATAAAATAAGTGAAACAAAAAATTGTCAATAGAAGAGGAGAATATTCAAGGAAATCCATTGCGGATTGGAGGTTTTTTTTTCTTTTTGGTCAAGCTAGCTTTGGTTCTGCTAGTAATTTTTGTAGGATTGAGCAGTTCATTACCTTCAAAAAATTAATATAGGAGTTGCAATATTCGCACCTTAAGTTTGAGCGGGCCCCAATATTATTTAAAAGTGTGCTAATTAGTTGAGGAGTTTGACAATTGACATAGATTGTACAGTTCTTGAATAAGGAACGGACAATTTCATTTAAGAACAATGTGGGGGATCTAAAATTTTAATTTATGGGTGCTTTACATTTTTTTAACGTAGTGTACTATCAATATAAGTCCATAACTATATATTTGAACTCTACGATTAAAAACTTAATAAGAAAACTCATAGTATTAATATGGACACCTTAAAACTATAATGAATAACACAATTACTATTGAGCAAGACTAACTGTTGGTCTTCAAAAAGGGTCGAACTTTGGAGTTCCTTTTTAAGTAGATTTTCTTTTTCTTTCTTTCCTATAGAGATTTAGATTAAGTAAAAAATAGTTTTAAGAAAAGGTAAACAAAAAGTCAGCGAAAAAAATAAGTAGAATCATAATATAGTGGCTAATGGAAAGAACAAAAGTGCCTATAAAAAAGGAATTATTAACCGAACTGCCGCTGCCACTTTCTTTAATATTTCAGCCATTTCTTGACCAAAGCACCCATAAAGCTTTTTGTTACGTGGCTGCTTGTTAACTTATTATATCCATTTCCTTAAGATTTCAATATAATTATGCGTACTCTTTGTCAAGGTCAATGGGTGCTTAAGCACCCAAAATTGATATGTAGATCCGCCCATGTATTAAGAATGATCCATTTCTTTCTAATTTGTTGTCAAGTATTGCTGGTTACTCTCAAATTGCTCAAACTAACTTTTCAAGAAAAGCGTCGATATTTTTGGATTTTAAGATTTCTTTATTTAGATTTTTTTCTTTCTAATGTCAATAGTTTCTTTTCTTTTCTTGAGGAAAGTCACTATCAGTAAGGTTCATTACGTACGAGTACACTTAATCGTTATAGCAGATTGGTAACTTACCATATTTTCTAGATTATTCATTCAAATCTACCTGTGTACGATTGGAGTATAATTCCAATGTACTATAGAAAATTACTTGAAAGGAGTGAGATATTATCTGTAAAAAAGCTTTTATGTTATAAATAGAATTTTATTTAAGGTAAATATCTATATTTTAGAGAGATTTTAGAGATTTTACTTGGTGGCTAAGTCACTCTTTTCCTATAAATAGAGGAGTCATATTCCATTGTAATTTATCTCAAAGCAATAAGGATTCTCTCTCTCTCTCTCTCTCTCTATATATATATATATATATATATATATATATATATTTGCAATATTCTTCTTTTTTGTTTTATTACACGTTATCAGCACGAGACTCTACCATCTCAAGAAGCTCTTTGAGAAGACTAAGGTATAACTTTTCTCCTCTTTTAATTATGACTGATATTATGAAAAGAAAGTTCATTGCCCTTGAAATTTCGGGCAAGAACTATATGACATGGGTGTTGGATGCTGAAATCCATTTAGATGCAGTGGGTCTTGGAGACGCCATTAAAGATAAAAATAAAGTATCTACCCAAGACTGTGCTAAGGCTTTGATTTTGTTGCGTCATCACCTTGATGAAGGGTTGAAAATAGAATATTCCACAGTCAAAGACTCACTTGTTGTGTGGAATGGCTTATATGACAACTTAAAGTTGGTCACTCTTCCACAAGCACGATATGATTGCGCTCATCTGAAGCTCCAAGACTTTAAGTCTGTTTTTGAATATAATTTTGCGATGTTCAAAATTACTTCTAAATTAAAACTCTGTGGAGATACTATCACTGACTACGATATGCTTGAAAAACGTTCACAACGTTTCATGCCTCCAATATGGTCCTGCAACAGCAGTACCGAGAGAAAGGTTTCAAGAAGTACTCTGAGTTAATTTCTCATCTCCTTGTGGTTGAACGAAACAATGACTTGCTCATGAGAAATCACGAAAATCGACCCATTGGGTCTACACCATTACCTGAAGCGAATGAGGTGTATTCCCATTATTCTAAGCGTGGAAAAGGTCGTGGCCCTGTTCGTGGTCGTGGTCGTGGCCGTGGCCAAGGAAGAAATTTTTCCTAGTGTTAATCACCCCTAAAGAAAAATAACCACCAATAGTGAAAAGGGAAAGATGAGAAGCCAAAGGCAAATAGTTCAGAAATTGAATGTTACCATTGCGGTGGAAAAGGCGTTGGACAAATATTTGTCGTACACCAAGACATTTGGTTGAGCTTTATCAAGCATCTCTAAAGAATAAATGCCTCGAAGCTAATTTTGTCTCTGACAATGAATTTGACATCACCCACTTGGATGTGGCAGACTTCTTTGAGCACCCTGATGGGAAAATAGACCACTTGATCGGTGATGGATCTGTGGTTAAAGATGATTGAGTAGTTTGATTTTTATTTTTACATATTCGTAGTAGCTAATAAACATCATGTAATCACGGTTCTTTATGAGTAGTAGTCATTAGTATCAATTAGTACTATTTATTTTATGGGATAATGTTAGTTCGTTTTGATTGAATATAGTTCTAGTATTCGTTTTAAACAATGTTTCAGTTTGCTTAATTTTTCAAGGATTAACATATTCTTTACTAAATTAAGGTTGTGATGTGTAAAGAATATTTAGTTACTTAAGTTGAAAACAAAAGGATTAACTTTGAAAGATTTCACGTAATTAGAGAATGACGCCAAAATAATGGGAGTATATTTGCAAGTGAATCACGTTATCACTTTATTGTTGATACCCAATTTTTTTCCTAAGTATTTTTATACCCAAAATACTTCCAAAATAGCATATTTGTGCATATATAAGCACAGCCAAGAGTTTTGGCATTTTTAACGATTTTTAAAACCAATTTATTGCCTATTTTAATACAACAAAATCCAATGATTATTCCCAAAATTATCATTTTTTGGTGAATAATTCATTTTATTCTCACATTTATACCAAAATATAATTAAGGTAATTTTTTGCATATTTTTACGAATTCATCTGGTGTTTTTAACGCTAAATTGCACACAACTGCAGTTATAGCCTATATTACGATTAATGGCATTTTACACTTATAAAATTATTTCCAGTATTTTCAGATTAATGTTTATATATTATTAATTAGCTCAGTGCTTTTAATTTGTTTAAAATCATTTTTTAACTATTTTTATATAAAATTAAAGGGGGGAAATCGGCTATTTAACACATAGCCATTTCAATTGCAAATATAGCATCAATTTAATCCCCAATTAACCCCAACTCAGCCCAAAAAATACCCAGCCCAATTACCACTTGCAACCCGATCCATACCCCTTCCTATCATACCCAACCCGGTCCCCATTTAACCCATTTAATCCCAGCCGTTGATCTAAAAGATCAACGGCTCCCCTCTTCCCTTTCCTTTTTTAATTCAAACAACCCTAAAACCCTACCTCATTTTTTCTCGACCGCCGCCTCTGAATCCTCTCCTTTCTCAACTCTCTCTCAACTCACCTCAAACCCTAACCACCGCCTCTCACTGAAACCCTAATCTATGGCTTCTCAGGCTCATCGGAGGCCTATACTGGCCTCTCATGGCTTCTGCGTGCTCATTTTCTAAAGTTCCTATGACCAGATCTTGAAGGGTT